TTCATCTCTGACTCCTATTTGATTAGCCTGAAGCTAAGTCTAACGTCGTAAAATATGTGCTTTTACCTAACATGTGAAATAAATCAATCATGTTGGGCAAAGGGTATTTATCATCAGTCTTTATGCCGTTTATTCGTCAATAATAGATGACCATTCTCCGTGGTTTGATACCCGATTCATCTATTTTTTTGGTACTAAGTGAACCAGTGCACCACTCCTTGTAGTCCGATTCCTGAATAATGTTATTTTTGAAATTTTTTCTAGATGTCTTTTATTTCTTCCGTATGAACTAGTAGTTTCAATATTTTCTTAGACTTTCTAACTCCATTGCTAAGCATTCTTCTGACCTTGGATCGAAAAAGTGTTGGTTTAACAATGATTTCAAGTCTGCCCAAGGGCGGGGGTTAGTCTCCTCCTAACTTTTTGATAATGTCAGTAGGAATAGATTAACACCTATTCTGCTCTCCTGTCTGGCGAGCAGTTTGGCGAAAGGCTCTGGGGGAGAGCGCAGGTCAAAGTTGATCCCCAGGGCAAGTCTGAGGAGTTCTTCCTTCACGTGGTTGCCGCCTGTTATTTGGTCTGGTTAAATAGGAAACAGACAGAACTGAAACACTCAGACGATCCTTTTATCTTTTATCCCACCCCCTATTGCCCATCCTAGCCCAATCCAAGGTGTCAAGCATACCGTGCCGATGGATGCTTGGCTGGAGGGAGTCCAGTCGCAAACGGTGTCTACCCGAGACTGGGGCAAATCGGGTAGTATTTTAGCCCTTCCCTCGGCATGCGGGGCTCTGCCGGGGGTGACCGAATATTCCCCAGGGAGGGGATAAGAAAAAGTTCGTTAGGTATTATAAGCTTAGTGGGGCAGCAAGGAAGAGGTACCGACGGCTGATAGCAGCTGAGATAGGAGCCGAAGAGGCCCTCTATCTCTCTGCCAGAAGCCCTGGGACGAAATTCCTCTGCCCAAACCTCCCCCAGTTCAGAAGGCGGAAAACGCAGTCGGTCTGAGGAAGAGTCCCCCATAGACCGGCCCAAGAAGTCTGTGAAGCTGGCAACGGGAGAGAAGAAGCTCAGCTTCAGTGCCGTAACTGGCTCCGCGCGTGTGGTAATTAGCAATTCGAATTCCATGAGTGTGGACCAGAAGCGGCTGGGATCAAAATTTTGGGGTTTCACTCACAAGCCAGGTTGGATTCTGGTAACGTACCTGAATAAGGCAAGCCAGGACTGGATTGTGGGTGAGATCGGAAAACTAAAACCCTGGCAGGAGGAAGAGCTTTCGGTAATACCCGAAGGCGAATTGCCTAAGCCTCATCTGGGCATTACGTATTTGCCCCGCATCGAAGCTGACTCTCCGGAGGAGGCGGCTGTGCTGTTGAGGGCGCAAAACGTAGGGCTCCATACCGAGCTCTGGAGAATTCTCCATCGTAGGGACGAGGATAATGGGTTCCTGGTAACCTTTTCTCTGGACGACCCATCGGCGGGGGCTCTTCAGAAGGCAGGCGGGAGAGTCGTCCTTAGCTTTAAAATGATAACTTTTAAGATCAGGGGAGGCTCTGACGTGGCAATGGAGCCTGAACCGCCCCAACTCCGATCCCCTCAGCCTTCCTCTAAAGCGAGGTGAGACTGGAACGCCATTAGTGAGAGTGACGAAGACCCAAGGCGCTGATCTCGCCTCGGTCCGACGGCCTCCGCTGGTGTCGTCCAGGAGTGTGGGGAGGGGAGGTAGGAGCGGTACAACGAAAGGTAAAGCGGGGGTCAAGAGTGTCGGTCAAGGAAGTCTTCGTCCTCAACTGGCGGAAAAGACCTCTGCCCCCCCACGCCCATAAATGGCTAACCCAAAGTGTAAGACGAGGGTCCTCCAGGCAAATATTCACCATTCAGCAGCTGCTTCTGCCTTGATGGCGGTTTACTTTGCAGAGGACAATATTGACTTCGCCCTCATACAAGAGCCTTGGGTGGCCAAAGTACAAGTTCTGGGATTGTCGGCTGCCGGTAAAATTCTTGTCAAGACTAAAGGCAGTAGACCCAGAGCTTGTATAATTTACATTAAAAATATTGAACTTTTACTTCCTTTTTAGTTTCTTGGTGGAATACTAAGTTAAAATAACTTAGGGAAAAGACCAGAAAACTCTTTAATAGGGCTGAGAAAACAAAAGAGTGGGATATTTATAGCGCAGCCCTAACTGAATATAATAAAGAAATTAGGAAAGCCAAGAGAGCATCGTGGAGGAAGATATGCGAGGAAGTTGAGTCTTTGCTTCGCAGTGCAAGACTACACAAATTGCTATCGAAAGCGAAACCTAACCAGATCGGGCTTCTTAAAAAGCCTGATGGTAACTTCACTAATAGTGAAACAGAAACATTGGAGTTAATAACGTCAATCCTTTCCCCAGGGTCACTCAAGACCCCAGCCTTAAATTTTTTCAGAGCCCTACGAAGGCCTTGTAATGAGGACTGGTGTAGGGCTGCAAAGATAATAAGGTCAAACCTGGTGCAATGGGCTGTTGACTCCTTTAAACCATTTAAAACAAGCGGGGAGGATGGAATAATTCCCATCCAACTGCGGATGGTTATTGACATCCTTCTTCCCTATCTGGTGAAACTCTTCAGAGCAAGTTTTGCCTGGGGATATATTCCAGAACGATGGACAATTGTCAAAGTTCTATTTATACCTAAGGCTGGTAGAAAGGACTACGCCTTACCAAAGTCCTTTCGACCTATAAGCCTATCTTCCTTTCTCCTTAAGACATTGGAAAAGGTTATAGATAGATATATAAGGAATGTAGCTCTAGCTACGAGGCCCATACATTACAACCAGCATGCTTACCGCAGAGGCAAATCTACGGAAGCAGCCCTGATTAGTGTTATGGACAAGATCAAAAAAGCACTGGAGGATAAAGAAATAGCTCTTTGTGCCTTTCTAAATATTGAGGGCGCCTTCGACAGTAGCCCCACATCACTGCTGATTGGTGCCAAACATCTAAAAATGTTGACCCCACAATGATCAGATGGGTGAAGTTGATTCCCTCAAACAGAAAGGCAAAAATAGCGCTGTTTCAAACTTCGATTGAGGTTGCAAGTTGCAAACACAAGAGGCTGCCCACAAGGAGGTGTTTTGTCACCCCTTCTTTAGACTCTTGCGGTTGACCAACTATTGTACAAAATGGCATACCTACGCATTGACGCACTGGGCTATGCTGATGACTTCGTGATTATTGCCAGAGGCTTTTTCCAAAGTACTTTATCGTAGCCTTAAACACCATAAATAACAGGTGTAGGGATAACAGTTTATCAGTTAATGCTGATAAAACTGTTATAATACCCTTTTCCAAAAAGAGACGGTTGGACAAATTAGTCCAACCAAAACTTAATGACAAAGAAGTACCATTTTCCACGGAAGATAAGTACTTGGGCGTAACAATCGACCAAAAACTAACGTGGAACTCTCACCTTAGCAACGTATGCCATAAGGAAAAAAATTGCTTTAGGTACATGCAGTCGATTGGTCGGGAACATCTGAGGCTTGCGTCCCAGTATGGTCCTATGGCTGTACAGCAGCATAGTGAGGCCGATTCTCACCTACGCCTCTATTGTCTGGTGTAACAAGGCCAACCAAATGACGACTGCGGACAGACTAAATAGTTTACAAAGGAGTGCCTGCTTAATGGCAACTGGAGCTATGCGATCATCGCCTGGAGCGGCTCTTAATGCACTTCTATGCCTAACGCCCCTTGATCTCTATCTAGACAAGGAGGCGAGGGCTAGTTTGTATAGAATTAACGCCCAGGGCGGTCTGAGCTTGCTCTCCTACAGATTGAGATCCATGCTCGACTCAATTAAGGAATCACCGGTCTTATGCATGATCTCAGATATGATTCGTCCACTACACATTTTGATAAAAAGTATATAGTCGAATTACCCTCCAGAGAAGACTGGCTGAAGGGCCAGGTTATCTGTGAGGTTGGTAGCCTCATATAGTATACCGATGGGTCTAAAATGGGCCTCGACGTAGGCTTTGGAATTTACGGGGAACGCCCCAAATTCAAACTTTGCATGCATTTGGGTAAATACCGTAATATTACCGTAATATTAGACTAATACCGGGGTAATTACCGTAATATTAAACTATAAAGTAGTATTACTTTTGACTTCAATCTTATTTCCCACATATTGTTTGGCAATCTTATAAATATATTTACAGGGTGACCCTGCATATAAGTGAAAAAACCCTATTATGACAGTATGTGTTCTCTTAATAATTAACATCTATAACTCTTTTTGAAGCTGGTTTTACTTGTCACAAAGCGTGGTGATGGCGGGAGATCATTCCAACATTTTGTGGCCATAAACTTAAAACTACCTCGGAAAAAACATGCTCTGAGTGGCCGATGTTCATATTCAGATTTTATATGTATAAAAGTTGGTCATTTCTCCAGTAATTTTTTTGTATAGACATAAAGACTGCATATTAGTATTAATTGTGTGGCATCAATAATGTTAATAATACGTGTTAGTATAATATTTAATATTTAATTATAAATCTTTTATATGTAGTGGTCAGAGTGCAATGAGCAATAGATCAAAACTTCACCTTAAATGTTATCACAAATTGATAATTTAGATTACTCGCTGATTGTTATCCTCTCGATTATATCAGGCATACGTTATGCCAAACCTGGCGCGAACTTCGTTAGATGACTAAAGACTGTTGAATGCATATTTAGTTTACCGATTATTCACTGGCGCTAGTTTGCTATGGCATGGTTATCGTCGATTTATAATACGAACTGTTATATCTATTATGATATCAATAATTGCTATCGCTAGCCTTCTTCAATATACGTAATAATGCATTTCGTATTTTCTCGTTTAGTTAAGATAGACGTGTTCTGTTGTATTTAATAATAGGCACTTTATATCAAATTATTTTGCTGGTGTAGTATCAATTTGCATTATTGGTTGATTAATAAATCTATAACCAACTTAAACCTAGTGAAGTCATGTCTGAGTGTGACCAAGATGTTGACAGACAGGAATTTTATCTACGTTTGGATGAAGTGTATAAAATTAAGCATGCTTCCAGTAATCCTTTGCTGACGCCGACGCAATATGCTTCACTCATCGAACGAGTTAATTTGGCCAGGAACAATTTCAAGAAAACTTCAGCAGATTATCGTCTTTTGAAGAGATACGAAACAGTAAAGACACCATCAGGTGAAAAATTAATTTTCGCAAAATGTTCAAGCCCCGGTAAACGGCAGTATTTTGTAAACACTGACGAAATATATGATATTGTTCGCTTGATTCACAGCAAATTAAATCATGCCAGACTGAGACGAATGATGGACGAAATAAAAAAAAAATATAAAAATATCACTGGACAGATTGTTACAGTTTATTTATCTTTATGTAAAACATGCAAGGACAAGGACAGCAGACGAAAATTGGATATAACTAATGATGTTAGTGACGTCGGTTCTAGTTCAAGTTTAAATGTGAACGAGCCAACTATTACTTTCTCAACAGAAAATAATACCAACGAAGAAAATGGGTCAGACCTTGGCAATATAACTGTATATCCTGAGCTTTATTCGCGCGGACAAGTTGACATATTAGGTGTTATAACTTCATCCTCAATAGATGAGTACAAATACATGATGGTGTATAGAGATTTCGTAAACAAATATACGCATTTGAAAGCGCTTAAATCTACTAAAATCGATGAGACAGTTGAAGCGTTATTAGAAATATTCCTTGTATTTGGCGCACCCAATATATTACAATCGAAAAACGACATATCCATTACTACAAAAATCTGCCATCGAATGTCGGACATAAATTCTGACATAAAAATAGTAGCTGGTGAGCCGAATCCCTGTGAAAGCGATTTCAACGGCAAATCGAATAACGATATTTTAATAGATTTGAATAACTGGGTAAAGAGATATAAAAAATGTAAGTGGCAGCAAGCCCTAAAGTATATACAGTACTCTCTAAATACGACATTTAATAAAGTTTTGTGCAAAACGGCGAGTGAGACCGTTTTCGGTTCGAACCCAAGTAGAGGTCTGGCTTCGCTAATGAGGAAGGAAGAATACGATTACTTGCAAACAGAGGATGAACTGATTGAGGTATTAGAAAAGAAAGAATGGCAACACGATATGTCCGAGCAGCTCCTGCAGCAGGAATCTCTTATACCAGCTGAAAGTTTTACTAAATTAGAGCCCGAGGAGGACGAAGTCTCCCTTATTTTATAAAACAAAAACTTTGACATAAAAGTTTTTAATCTGGTAATTTATTTCTTACATATTTATTATTTATACTGTATAGAATTAACGATATCGTATGTTACTCATTGTTGTGGGTATTTGTATTACTGTATACGTAGGTAGTTATGAGAGGAAAAAATCAGTGGTTGTCTCGCTAACGAACGTGTATTATTGCAAACACAACATGGTGACAGCGGTGGGATCATAAGCATAGTAAACGCTTAAAATCGAGGACTTCAATAGAATAATTGCAACATATATACATAGCATAATATTTATGAATAATAGTAACCTGTGAAATAGTTCTATAACGTGTGTCTTGCAATTAACAATGGAGCACGCGCGTCCAGCTAACGAATTACAGTTAGAAGGCGGACGCGTCAGCAGGGCTGATGCTTGGAAGAGGTGGAGACAACAATTCATATTATTTGTGAAAGCTTCGGCTGTGCACTCGGAGACATCAATTTAATTGGTTCAGAAGGATTCGACATTTATCAAACTTTTACGTTCACTAAAGAAGAGGATTGTGATGACGTGAAAATAATATTGAGTAAATTTGATGAATATTTTGGAACTAAAATTAATATTACATTGCATAGATACAAATTTTTTACACGCAATCAAGAGGAAGGTGAAAACATACAGCAGTATGTTACGTCATTGCGATTATTGAGTAAAAATTGTAAATTTGCAACTTTAGAAGAAGAGCTGATAAAGGATTGAATTGTGTGTGGTGTAAATAGCACAATAATCCGAGACCGTTTGCTCAGATGTGAGGACCTAGACCTGGACAAAGCTGTGAAGTTGTGCCAGGCCGAAGAAATTTCGCAAGAGAGTGGCCGTCAGCTAAGTACTAGTGGTAGGTGTGCTAGTGTAGTGCAGGTAGATAGTGTCAAACATAGGAGAGGATAACGGACGACGAGAACGAGGAGGCGCAGCGCACATACGCCGGCCACGCCTCACGGGCCTCCGCGATGCGCTACCCGCGCTGTGCACTCGAGCGTTGTGCAATGCCTCGATGTCCGGCCGTTTACGCCACGTGTTTCATTTGTGGTAAACAAGTTCACCTTGCTCGGGTATGTAAGCAGAATTTTAATAGTAATAAGGCCGGTATAAACCGTGTATATGACACTGAGCAAAATCAAGAGGTTACGCGTTCTATTGATTGTGAATCGTTTTTTATATCAACCATAAATAGCCTAGAAAGTTCTTCAGATGGCTGGTTCGAAACATTATATTTTGAAAAGGGTATCGAAAACTTTAAATTGGACACGGGGGAGGATATAAATGTTTTATCTTTTGAAAGATTTTTGCAACTGGGTTTTGATTCCAATATAATAAAAAATCATTGTATTAAATTAGAATCGTATAGTGGTAATAGTAAGAGGCGTTTGCTATTTACAATGTTTTTATAAAAATGTTTGTTATAATTTAAAGTTTGCGATTGCCTATTTACATTCTCAAAGCGTGCTGGGACGACAGTCGTGTGAGAAGTTAGGGTTAGTCAAACGAGTTCATGAAATTAATATATCAGACTATGATGACTTATTTAGTGGTATTGGGTGTCTTCCAGGAAAGTATCATATTGTTTTAGACGAATCCGTACCTCCGGTGATTTGTAATCTTAGGAAGATTCCGTTAAGTTTACGTGAACGTCTAGCAGATGAGCTTAAAAATATGGAAAACCAAGGTATAATAAGAAAAGTTTCTCATCCAACTCAATGGGTGCATCCACTAGTTCTAGTCGCAAAAAAGGACAACGGGATTCGCGTGTGCTTAGACCCACGAGAACTTAACCGTGCAGTGCGGCGCGCGCATTTCCAATTGCCCACAGTATCGGAGCTCGCAGCGCGGCTACACGGAGCACGCTTCTTTTCCGTCTTGGATGCCAACTCAGGTTTTTGGGCTATACAACTGGATGAGCAGAGTGCAGACTTGTGTACATTTGCCACACCGTTCGGTCGATATCAATTTCTTCGTTTACCGTTCGGTATTAATTGCGCATCCGAAGTATTTCACGCTAAAATGAGGCAGCTTTTAAAAGATTTAGAGGGCACAGATAGTTTTATAGATGATATAATTGTCTGGGGACGGAACAAGCATGAACATGACAGAAGACTAGTTGCGTTGTAACAAAGAGCTAGAGAAATTAATTTAAAATTTAATTTAAAAAAATGCAAAATAGCAGTTGAAGAGGTTACTTACTTGGGACATATTTTTGATAAAAACGGTATGAGGCCCGACCCTAATAAAGTAAAAGCCATTTCTGAGATGCCTCAACCCTCAGACAGAAAAAGTTTAGAAAGATTTTTGGGAGCCGTTAATTATTTATCGAAATTTATTCCGTGTTATTCTGATCGCGCTCTTCCTCTAACGAATTTATTAAAAAAAGATAGTAGTTGGCGATGGGAAATTAGTGAGCAGACAGCATTCGAAAAATTAAAAGAATGTGTTTGCACAGCGCCAGTGTTGGCGTTGTACGACGTATCACAGCCTGTCTTGTTATCTATATAATATATTGGTGCGGTACTACTGCAGGGTGGTCGGCCGGTCGAATACGCCTCGCGAACTATTACAGATACGCAACGCCGGTATGCACAAGTGGAAAATTAATTGTTAGCAATTGCGTTCGCCTGTGAACGATTTCACCGATATATTTTTGCAAAAGATAATGTTGTCGTAGAAACAGATCATAAACCTTTGGAAAGTATCTTTAAAATGCCATTAATATCCGTCCCAGCCCGCTTACAACGTATGATGCTCAGAATACAAGGCTATGACTTGTTAAGTATAAACCAGGAAAATATATGTATATTTCAGATTCACTATCTCGCGCGCCGCTTCCCGACTTAGTATTAGGTAATAAATTAGATAAAAAAATTCTGTATCAAGTAAAATTAATTGTAAAACAGTAATCCAATTTTCTATAGATTTCTATAGATAATAGAAAGTTAACACTGATAAAAAATGAAACGAAAAAGGTTTTGATTTATGTACCTTACTAAATTATATTAAATTAGGATGGACTAATGATAAGTATAACGTAATAGAAAATCTTAAAAAAATATTGGTCTTTAAAAAATGAGTTATATGTGGTAGACGACGTCATATTTAGAGATAATGTTGTTTTAGTTCCTCGTTCCCTGAGAACAGATATGTTGAAAATTGTACACGAAGGGCACTTAGGTGTAGATCGGTGCAAGCGACGCGCAAGACAAGTTATATTTTGGCCAGGCATGTCACTTGACATAGAAATGTATGTGAAATGTTGTTCGGTGTGCAGGGAGAGTTCAAACGCACCAGCTAAAGAACCCATGATTCCAGTGGAAATTCCTAATTTGCCCTGGTTTAAGGTGGGGTCTGATATATTTGAATATAGAAAGAAATATTATCTTATTTTAGTTGATTATTACTTTAGTTATGTTGAGGTAAAAAAAATTAGAAAATATTACATCACAAGTGGTTATACGCGGTATGAAGGAAATATTTTCACGACACGGTATACCTGAAATACTTATAAGTGATAATGGCACTCAATATACTAGTCGCGAGTTCAAGCAGTTTAGTAGAGATTGGGGCTTCACTCACATTACATCCTCACCTGCGTTGTAGCAGGTTTTTGACAACTGGGTGAATTTAGCCTTGTCTCTTAGGAAGACAGGGGGCGGCACTATATTCCGCTATTAGGAATATCGATGTTAGGGAAATCACCGTAGTAGCACGCAAACTGCGCGCGGCGAAGTCCCCCCAAGAACGTCTCCTCGTTCTTGCAGAACATAACAATCTTCTGTTAGCGTTGTAAGTTAAGTTAACTTAATTAACTTAACTTCAATGACTGTGCAAATTACTCTACCTAAATCTCACGGTCGTATCAAATCTAAGGGTTTATCGCTTGTATCATTTAATATTCGCGGCTTGCGAAATAACCTCCCAGAGCTCAAGCTCTTTCTTCGGAATCGTAAAGTCAATTTCCTCCTCCTACAGGAAACCAATCTCAAAACTAAGGACACTAGAGGCCTTTCTATTAAAAACTTCTCTCTTCTTCGTAACGACAGACCCGACCGCCGAGGCAGCGGAACGGCCATCTATTACAAGAAGACACTCCATTGCTCGCAAATTTCCACTCCGCAGCTTACCAACATGGAAGCCACGGTATGCAGGCTAGCTATGACTGGACATCAGTCCATCCTCATAGACTCCTGTTACATCCCTTCAGGAACCCATCCCCTCAAAAAAGATTTTGAGGCCATTTTATCTTTAGGCAATTCAGTCATTATGTTTGGAGATTTTAACTCCAAGCATACTGAATGGACATGCCGTACCACGTCCCATAGTGGCAAGATACTGCCCGATATCACGCAATCTCTTGATATTACCGTCCATAGTCCCCTCGGTGTTACTCACTTTGCAGATAACACCGAGCACGCCCCCGATGTACTAGATTTTGCGTTACTCCAAGGAGTTTCTCACAACCTCAGAGCAATCGAGACACTAGACGATCTAGGATCCGATCACCGACCGGTCTCACTCATTCTTGGCCATCAGACACCTCCCCCAACCCACACGAAAACCTTCACTAACTGGAAGGGATTCAAGGAATCCCTAGCTAAAGCTCTGGACTCACAGGACTCTACCACCTCCCTACCGTCGAACTTAGACAGTCCCGATAAAATCGACAACGCGGTCGATTCACTCTCAACCCTTATTAAATCCTCCCTTAAGGAGAACGAAAGGGTCATCCCGGCTGCTAACAATAGTGGGCTTCCCCTACATATTAGCAACCTATTAAAAGCCCCAAAACAGCTGCTTTCCGGAGAGCAGCAAAATATCCCACCCCCGAATATAGGCGCGCAGCCAATCGTCTTCAACGAGAACTCCGTTTCCGCCTCTCTGAATTTCGAGACCTCGAAAAGAGTAAACTCATGGAGAATATCTCTCCATCTCATACAGCGTACTATCAGATGGCCAGAGCCCTCCGCATAGACGCT